ATCTCTAAATTATCTCTATAATTTCCCTTTTGAACCATCATAAGCCATTGTTTGAGAAAATCCTTGTTTGTTTCACAACTCACGCTATATCTCTCATTAATAAATTCTGACCAGACAATTTACTTTTCTTAAACATTGTGGAGGTCAAACTTGCATGTTAAATTGAGGAGGGGGAGTCATATTTAGAATATACTCTCTTAGTTTCAAATAGTTAAAGTATTGTAGATGTAAGGATAAAAATAGCTTTATGGTGATCTTTTGCTTCTTCAATATTATACACTTCTTAAAAGTGTATCAATATTTTGTAGTTAATATGAAAAGGGAAAAATCAAACCATAAATAAGAATTCATTTTTATCTTAAAAGTTTAACATAAATTGTTAAACTTTTACATATGAAAAGGGAAAAATTGTTCTGATTGTTCTCTTGTAATACGTAGTAATCATCTATGAGTGAGCTCTTGTAATCTTTTTCTTTTGAAACACATATTTTACATATGTCTCTAACTCTCTAAGGAGGGGCAAGAGGAGCCACACTCCTTTTTTTGCGATATAGATATATATAAAATTACATGTAATCTCTCGGAAGAATGTGTCCAAATGTGAAGCTTTCACCCCGTAGTATAAATTGTTCAAATATTGTCTCTAAATCTTCCTGTCTCCCAAAATTATGCCTACATTACTTTCCCGGAAACCATTTACTATCTTTAACCGTTAGATAAGTTTCAACTACATATTTTTTGCTTAAACACTCCCCCAATCAAATTTGATTGTTTATTTAAGAATGGAGGCAGTATTGAGTTTTCGCTCCACCACCGGAGAGGGATAAGGCGGGTCCCACGACTCTACACGTAGAGACATGTAAGGACAGTTGAAATAGCCCAAGAATGAACATAGATGTTTAATTGCTCAAGGATAGGGGGCAATGCTGAAGGGACGCAGACTAGTCTGCCATTGCCAGAGGCACTGCATATATGCATTATTAATGAAAGATGGAAGCTTAGGTTGAGAGATGCGTAGACCATTCAACCACTATCTTGTGGGATTGTCTTCTTCTGACATGTAACTCTTCCAGTTTTGGGACCATTCTGCCTTAAAACACATCCCTTCACTCACTGGCATACATGATAGAAGAAAAAGGAACCAAGTAGGCTCCAACCCCAAGCGGCCAAGCCGTACGCTAGCCATTGAAATGAAAGTATGTCAATTTTCGAGTTCTTCCACATTTACATTTTTGGAAACATGAACTTAAATATGGCCCCTGAAGTGGAGCTGGCATTTCGTGTTTTTTTGGGTGAATGCACAACTTATGCATATCTATAAGTTGCTCTTCAATGACACGCATCTACTACACGAAGTACATGCTTTTTTGTTGTCTAAAATGTATGATTTGACCTTAAGTTTCGAGTCCCTTCTAATGTGTTTTATTTAGTGTCGTCTAGTTTAGTCTAAGTGGTTAAGGATTTTTTAATTAGATTGAAATCTTGTGGTCTGGTTTAGTAAATGTCCACATATTTAATGTTGTCCGACCATTTGTAGTGGTGGAGAGGTCAAAATTTAAAAAATGGACTCCTCCGTAGTGGTGTCGGACCAAATGTGTTTAGATCATATTTCCCCGCATTCCAAAACCGTCAATAAAATATACTCAACATATTCCTTTTTATATTTTCTGTAATAATAATGAAATAAAAAATAAACATTTCTATGAAAAAAATAAATTTCATTATTTTTCAACCTTTTTCAGTTAACAAAAAATGAACTTAGTTCGATTGTGGAATATTTAATTATTGTGAAGACTCCATAAATTAAAATTTTGTATTTGTGTTTTTTGGACCCAAGAAAACTTCAACAGTTAAAATTTAGATTATTTTTTTCATTTATATATTACATATTTGTGTCATATGAAAGATCATAAAATTTATGAATTTTTATATATATTTTGAAAATTTTGGAAAACAAATAAAAAAGTTATACAAGTTAAAAAATTAAAATATTATGATGCAAGGATGATGTCAGCATGACGTCATCCGCACCAAAAGCAAACTTGGGGCCGTCCAATTCTTTTCTTTTTCCTCTTCCCACTCCTCTCAACACCCTCTACATTTAACCCCCTTCACACCCGGTTTCCCACTTTTAATACCCTTTTAAACTCACTACATACAATTAGGAGTCCTAAACCTCCACAATTAGTCATTTGGACTCCTAATACCTCACCACTACAAATAGTTTCAAGGCCGTCTAATGAATTTGGAGTCCTCGGTTCCAAAAGACATATTGATGACTTTTAAAACAAGAAAGAATGCAAGTTTTAACAATGAAATACAAATAAACTAGATAATGATGGGAAAAGAATCATCATATAATCAAGATCAAATAACATTACAATGAATCATAATAATAAATCTATAAAAACTTATTTGGAGAGTATCCAATGTTCATTTGGGGGAGATTGAAGGAAGATAATGTCATTACTCTCAGAAAATAGATGTGTAATCCCTAAAACGAAAAATGATAGATGAAGTATATAATTTAGGGAGTTGTGATTTCCCTAATTCTTTGAAATATAAGTTTTATAATGTGAAAAATATACAAATTAGACAAAGTAAAAGTTATACACCTTTTGAAATTTGGATTAATGCATAATTATCTAGAAAAATTAATCTATAACTACTACTCACACATACTAATTTTTGGGAGGCCCCTATAAAAGTGAGCCCTGTACCAAGAACTTATTGCACTTTTGAAAAGACGGGCACTGACTATTATTCAAGTTTTATCTGATATGATCTAATATGACTTAACCTGATCTGAAATATAATTATTGTCTATTGTCTTAAATATTATAGTTTCGTACGGTTAAAATTGAAATTAGTAATAAGAAAAGGTTGCCAGACCATATATTCACAATGAGTGGCAAGGGGACTAGGTATTTTCATGCGATCGTGAGGAAGAAGAACGTGAGGAATGCCATTTCTTCTATCACGCTAGAGGATGGCAATCTCACCACATCCTTGGAGCAAGTTGGGGATGAATTTGTAAATTTTTTTTGTTAATTTGTTTGGTACCTTTTCCGAATGCACCTCTAGACCAAGCGGTCTTGGAAACCGGTCCTATGATTGAGCCAAGTGCTCATGATGGCCTTCTTGCTCCGGTTGAGACAATAGAGATTAAGAATGCTCTATTTGACATCGGCAATGAGAAGGCACCGGGACCGGATGGTTATTCGTCCGCTTTTTTTAAATATAATCGGAACCTTCTTGGGGATGATATAGTCCGGGCCGTCAAAGAGTTTTTTCGTTCGGGAAAACTTTGTAAGCAAATAAACTATACGGTTATTGCGCTTATCCCAAAAACGAATCACTCACCGAAGGTGTCGGACTATAGACATATCTCTTGTACGAATGTGATGTATAAAATCATTACAAAAATCCTTGCGGCTAGACTCTCTCCTTGCCTTCCCGGATTGATTGACCTAGCCCAGGGTGCTTTTGTTGATGGCCGCCTCATGTTTGATAACATTTTTCTGGCCCAAGAACTTGCTAGGGGATACATGAGGAAGCAAATCTCACCTAGATGTATGATCAAGGTAGATTTGCGTAAGGCATATGATACGATCTCTTGGGAATTTCTTCATGAGGTCTTAAGGGGTTTGGGCTTCCCCGCTAGATTTATTGGTTGGATTATGGAGTGCGTAACCACGACTTCCTTTTTCATATCTTTGAATGGATGTTTGTATGGTCATTTTGAGAGAAAAAGAGGAATTCGACAGGGAGATCCAATGACTCCGCTTCTTTTTGTCCTTTGTCTCGAATATTTTTCTCGATTAATAAACCTTAAAACCAAAGGGCCAAATTTCAATTTTCATCCCCAATGCGCTAAACTTAGCATTACTCACTTGGCCTATGCGGATGACTTAATACTCTTCTCAAGAGGTGACACGTATTCCATTGAAGTACTTGTCAACGCCCTTACGGAGTTTGCGGACGCATCAGGCCTAATGGTGAACCATGATAAATCTAACATTTTTATTGGGGGTGTTAATGAAACGGATCTTGCTGAGATCATGGTTCTTGTGGACTTTGGGCGAGGGACTTTCCCGGTCAAATACCTTGGAATTCCTCTTGCCCCTTTAAAAGTTTCGGTGGCGCAATACTCGCCCTTGATCAATACCATCTCTGACTTCTTGAAGACCTGGAACACAAAGACCCTGTCCTATGCTGGAAAACTTGAGTTGGTTAGATCTGTGATCCAAGGGGTCCAATCTTTTTGGCTTCAAGTGTTTCCGGTGCCCCAAACTATCTTGGATAGGATTGTCTCTATCTGTAGAGTTTTCTTGTGGGGTGGAAAATTCTCTAAAGTGGCCTGGGATGACATTTGTTTACCTAAGGATGAGGGGGGCCTTGGCATTTATAACGCTAAGGTTTGGAACAATGCCCTCCTCTCCCGAACACTTTGGGATGTCCATAGGAAGAAGGATACTCTGTGGGTGAGATGGATCAATGGGGTCTATCTCCATGGTAGAAGTGTTTGGGATTTTATCCCACACAACCGTGACTCAATGTTTATGAAAAAATTGAGTCACATTCGGGACCAAATTTTGGGATGTTTTAATAATCTGAATGATACCATTATGGGCCTAAACGCTAGATCCGAAAATGGTAAACTCCTTTCGGGGAAAATTTACGAGTTATTGAGGACAAAGGGGACGCAAAAAGCGTGGATGAGTTTCATATGGAAATCATATTTACCCCCAAAATTCTCATTCAATGTTTGGTTGGCCTTGAGGAACTGGTTACCTACACAGGATAACCTTGGTTACCTTCATATTGTTAACCATTGTGACCTCCGCAAGGGTGGCTTTGAAACAATGCCACACTTATTTTTTTCGTTTTTCTTACGCTTGTAGTGTCACGCCCCGGACCTAACCGGACACGTCAACAACCCGCCGTACAGTACGAATAGTCAACCGCAGTCCAACACATCCATACTATACAAGGCGTCTGGAATATCGTTCACACATAGTACATCCATAAACAAACATAATGTAAAATATTCATTTAAAGCAGCGGAAACATTCAATACAAGTGTTCATGCCACACCTTGGCAAACATGGGCATACAAGCCCCCAAATAAATATTTAAAAAAAATAATATCCATGAGCATTATTTAAAATGTTTTCAAAACAGGAACGGAAGAAGCACGAACCACGTCTCCCTCCTTTGATATTCCCGAAGCAACGGGCAGTGGTAGCAACCTTCAAGTTCTACCTGAAACTGTGAGGTGGCCTCCCCCGTGAAGGGGAGGTCAGTACTTGGAAGCATTTGACAAGTACAATGACAACTATACTAAGTATAATCAAAGTTTCAATTTCCAAGACCCTCAATCTAGGATGTTATTACATTATAGGTCATAACCCGTGGTTACCCTCTTTGAAAGTATACTTACTTTATATATAAAGTCAAGTAGTCGCCCGAAGGCCCATGTTTACTTTGAAAACACTAACCCTTTCCCCGTGACTTCAAGCCACACCCATCTATATTAGTTTACCATGCTAGAGGCTTCCTCTAGTCATGTTTTGTCGTGCTAGAGGCTGACTCTAGTCACTCCACTTGGTGTTAGAGGCTTCCTCTAATCACCTTACATACGTTGTGCTGGAGGCTTCCTCCAGTCACATTACGTTACGCTAGAGGCTTCCTCTAGTCGTCCTACACGAATGCTGGAGGCTTCCTCCAGTCATTCTTCATCGTGCTAGAGGCTTCCTCTAGTCACATTACGTTACGCTAGAGGCTTCCTCTAGTCGTCCTACACGAATGCTGGAGGCTTCCTCCAGTCATTCTTCATCGTGCTAGAGGCTTCCTCTAGTCACATTACGTTACGCTAGAGGCTTCCTCTAGTCGTCCTACACGAATGCTGGAGGCTTCCTCCAGTCATTCTTCATCGTGCTAGAGGCTTCCTCTAGTCACGATACTAGTTCACTAAGCAAGTTCTATGCCTAGAGTTCCTCTATTATGAGTAGCCTTTGAGGCCTACTCCTACGGTAACTTAGCGTTTACCCATTTCTACCTTAAGACATCTCATAAGACTACTTAAGGTGTACCCCTCTCACAATTCAAGCCCTTAGGATTTGTTCTATCACCTTTCACACTAACATTTCCGACTAGTAAAATCGATACTAATCCATTTGTCTTTAAGCCACCAAGCTCTTTAATTCATAGTTATAGGGCTCATTCCCATGAATTTCCAAATCCATATATGATTTAATCTCAATATCAAAATATCACTTTTATCCATTCATGATTTCTATACATGAAGTAAAAGTATATTTCATCACAAAAATTCATGATTTATACATTCATCATATCATCATTCTTACAATGCATAACTATACACCATTTACTCATAAAATTGTATATTATGCATCTTCTATTAATAAACAACAATATTTTCATTAGGCATTATTAATCATTAATAATCCATGAAAATCACATTTAATTATCTTAGGTAATCTTATGAAATTAACCCAAGGATTATAAGCAATATAGTCGGTCATCCTCACCTCAATTGAGCTTTAAACTATCCCTTCTTGGTCCAATGGTCAAGACTTTGGTCAAGGTGGATTTGGAACTGATTCCTTGCTCAAATATGGGTGTTAAACAGCCTCTTCAAAGCGCTAGCTCAACCCCTAAACGTTGGTACGAAAACAGCCCCTAGAATGGGTGTTTTCCTGTGAACACGTTTCCTAGTTTTCCAAGATTTACTCTAGGTTAGTATCTAACCTTTACATCAATAAAATAACTTTACAAGGACATATTATACACTTGTATTAGTGTACAATAGTTCCACCAATCGTTCATATCATTTGGAAAATGAAAGGAAAGGTTTTGGGGTTAACAACTCACTTTAGAAGAGTAGATCCGTTTCTGCGAGGTTGTGTTTTGCTCGGACGATTTGGAAGCCTTCCACTACTCCGATTGATGCAAACCAGACCTTCACGGATTCCTCGTCTTGAGATCTTTCTTTTGGTATCTCACACGCCTTAATTGGATTGGTATAACTCGAGATATCCACCAAACAGCTTCAGCACTCTCAGAGCTCGAGTTTACAGACCACTGCTCGCTCCAGATCGATTTCCGGATTATTACTCTCTCCTCTCGAACAGAGACCACTCAATTATGAAAATAGACTTCAAAGGCTATCCAAGGACACCTTATACACGTTGTTTGGTCGAGTATAACTCCCATAATGAGTGGAGACAAACAGCACACCATTTTGTGCGAAAAATGGAGATGGTGGCCCAACATTTGATTCCTATCAAGTCTTGTACAGCTCCTCTCCATGGTGGTCGGCCAAGGTAAGTCTTCTCACCCATTTTGATTTGTCTTGCAGTTACTAATATCATGTGGAGTGGTTCCCCATTGATCCCAATTATTTTGGGGTCCAAAATATCTATCAATACTTCCAAAAATGGGAAGATGGGTTCTATTGTTTTATCTTTTGTCAAAGATGTCTTTTTGTACTCATCCTAATTTATTTAGAACAAGTCAACTTCCTACATCACATTATTGATCTCCAATATGTGTAGGCTCATCTCAATAATTTACTTGATGGACATTATAGAAGGAAAATCCTACTCCCATTATTTAGCTCAATAATGTCAAAGATGGGATCATAGGCATTTGTATTCATCTCAAATCATCCTATCACTTATTTTGACATTTGTCATTCATATTATTGGGCTACAAGCCGTGTGGGTCGCCCCCGAGTGGGCCTACGACGCCATTCTCGAATACTTGCTATTTTAGCGGGTTGAGCCCAAAATAATATCTGGGCCGCCCGCCCTTCCTCAACTTGTCTTGAAACGTTATGTATCACTATTTAGATAATTTTAGGCTCTTTTATTTATTAATCAGGCCCGATACTTATATACGAGTTCGAACAGTACAATAATCGACCATTAATTACGTAAAACATTAATCGTTTTACAATCGTTTGGGAATCAGAAATCCAATACATAAACTTTGAATTTTAAAATCAAATTTTCAAGGACGTTCGGGTGCGGTGTCACAAGTTCACCCCCCCTTAACAGGAATTTCGTCCCCGAAATTCACAGCTCTACTCGAATAGGAAAGCATACTGCTTTCTCATCAAAGCCTCTGTTTCCCATGTCTCTTCTTCGACCTGATCGCTCTTCCAAAGTACTTTAACCATTGGGACCTTTTTGCTCCTCAGTTTCTTCACCTTTCTATCGGTGACCTTGATTGGTTGCACAGCGTAGTTCCCCTCAATGCCCTCAAACTAGTCGACAATGCCCCAGACAACTCTTCCGACTGAGGGCATCTGCTACAACGTTTGCCTTACCTGGATGGTACTCAATAACTAGATGGTAGTCCTTTATCAACTCCATCCACCCTCTCTGTCTCATGTTTTAACTCTTTTTGAGTAAACACGTACTTCAAGCTCTTATGATCAGTATATATGTGACATGTCTCTCCGTAGAGACAATGTCTCCAAATTTTCAGTGCAAACACCACTGCTCCCAGCTCTAGATCATGGGTAGGGTAATCCACCTCATGCTTCTTCAACTCTCGTGAAGCATAGGCATTTACCCTCCCCTCCTGCATCAACACCCATCCAAGCCCTTGGATGTTCGCGTCACTATAGACATCGTACCCCATACCCTGTTTGGGTAATGCAAGTACCGGTGCCTCGATCAATCTCTTCTTTAGTTCAATGAACCCTTTCTCACATTTGTCATCCCATACAAACTTAGCTCCTTTACGAGTGAGCTTTGTCAATGGTGATGCCAAAACGGAGAATTTCTACACGAACTTCCTGTAGTAGCCTGCTAACCCAAGGAAACCACGAATTTCCTTGACGTTCTTTGGTCTCTCCCATTCGGTAATGGCCCCTATCTTCTTATTATCAACAGCAATTCCCGATCCCGAAACCACATGCCCGAGAAAGCCAATTTCCTTTAGCCAAAATTCACATTTAGAAAATTTGGCATAAAGTTGCTTCTCCCGTAGCGTCTCAAGAACGAGAGAACGAGTATCAAGTGCTCTTCATGCTCTTCCTTACTCTTTGAGTAAATCAAAATGTCATCTATGAACACAATCACGAATCGATCCAAGTATTTATGGAATACTCGGTTCATCAAGTCCATGAATGCTGCTGGGGCGTTTGTTAACCCAAACGACATAACAAGGAACTCAAAATGCCCATACCTTGTGCGGAAAGCACTCTTTGGTATGTCATCTTCCTTAACCCTCGATTGATGGTACCCTGACCTCAAGTCAATCTTTGAAAACACAGTTGCTCCTCGTAGTTGATCAAACAAGTCATCGATCCTAGGCAAAGGATACCTATTCTTGATTGTGACCTTGTTCAGTTGACGATAGTCAATGCACATTCGAAGTGTCCCATCTTTCTTTTTCACAAAAAGAATCGGTGCTCCCCACGGGGAGTGGCTTGGTCTAATGAAGCCATTATCCAAAAGCTCTTGCAATTGGGTTTTCAACTCGTTAAGTTCAGCGGGTGCCATACGGTATGGCGGTATGGAGATTGGTTTGGTGCCGGGCTCGACCTCGATCACAAATTCAATCTCCCTATCAGGTGGAAGCCCCGACAGGTCCTTTGGGAAGACATTCGGGTACTTACAAACCACCCTCACGTCGTCGATGTTCGTTTCCTCCTTGGTCTTGTCAACCACGTATGCTAGATAAGCGTGGCATCCCTTTCTCATCATACTTCTCGCTCTCACAGCGGATATGATACAGCTGTTTGATTTGCCTCGGTCCCCCTCGAAGCGTAGGGTATCCCCATCATTGCCTTCGAGTCCCAAGGCCTTTGTGTAGCAATCTACCCTAGCATGATGCTTTTCTAGCCAATCCATCCCTAGGATTGCATCGAACTCCATCATACTCAGCGGTACGAAATCACACGTCAAGGGTTGACCCGTCACTTCCACCTCACATGATGGATAGTAATGATTTCTCTCCACATCGTCTCCTAACGGTGTGGAGACTAGCAACGTTTGCATCATAGGTGTCAATGGCACGTCAAGGCCCTCGGCGAACGCCTCACTCACAAATGAGCGTTGTGCCCCGATATCGATGAGGATCCTCGCATACCTACCATTGATCTTTAATGTTCCTACATTTATACACCATGTGGGATACCTTTTCTAATGTTTTTACACATCATTAGAAGGTTATTAGGTTCATACTAATGTTTGGAATCAATCGGGGGTCCAAACGTAGAAGAACGGAGCGGAAAAAATTCGATTTTCGGGTTCTGGGGCCTACGCACGGCGTGCCTGGGTGGCACGCACGGCCGTGCGTGCCTCGGATTCTTCCTGCTCACCACTGCCTCCCAGGCACGGTGCCAGGCACGGCGTGCCTGAGGCCGTGCCTGGCCAAATTTTCTTCGGGCGATACTGCCTTCCAGGCACGGTGCCACGCACGGCGTGCCTGTGGCCGTGCCTGGCCAAATTTTCTTCGGGGCGACACTGCCTTCCAGGCACGGTGCCACGCACGGCGTGCCTGTGGCCGTGCCTGGCCGGCAGTGGCTGTTTCCCAGCCGATTTGGCCTAACTTGCCCGGTTTGACCCCGGGGTGGCCCGCACTCAATCCCAACGACGCATATGATCAAAGTAAGCCTAGAAATGACCAGAATAAGTGTATTACCTGCGACGGAGTCGGGATTAGCCCGAGCATCGGCCTCGGTCATTGCGTTCACTCTCGCTTGAGTCCTTCCTTGGTTCACGGAGGGTGCGTTGCTTGTACTTGCCCCGCCGTGGTTCGTGCTTGCATTTGGTGCCCCACCCCGGTTTCTACTCACCGTGGTGGCATTGCTTGGTCCTGATGACCGGTTCCCACCAAGCTGAGGGCAATTGGGCTTTATGTGCCCCGTATCTCCGCATTGGTAGCACCGTGGGGGATCACGACAGTTGCCCTCGTGATTTCTCTTGCAATTCCTGCACTTAGGCTTCGTCGAGGCTTGTGACCCCGAGTTTTGCCCACCCATGTTGGGATTCCCCCTTGATGGTGGTGCGGGTGCCCTGAAGGATCCTCCTCCCCCGTGATTCCCCTTCTTGTTTGAACCCTGGGTGCCATGGTTCTCCCATTTTCTTTTCCTTGCCTCCTCGACATTTCTTCGCTTCCTTTCCTCCCATTCCTTCTCCCCCTTCAAGCCTTGTTCGACCACTTGGCTAAACGTCATATTAGGCAATTGTGTTGCCCTCTCACGTATATCAAGGTCCAAGGCGTCCCAGAAATGGTTCACCATCCGATTTTCATCACAAATGTACTCCGGTATGAACTCGGCAAGCTTTCTGAATTTGTGCTCAAGTTCCTTCACCGTGCATTCCCCTCCTTGGGTCAAATTCGTGTACTCCCTCCTCTTCAAGTTCACCTCGAAGTCGGAGTAGTATTGGCTAAAGAATTCTTGCCTGAAGTTCTCCCAAGTGACCGCCTCACCATACTTCCCCTTGACACCGTCCCACCATGTGGACGCCATTCCTTCTAGCAATCTTGTTGCCACTCTCATCTTCATATGGGGTGGCAGCTGCATATCAAGGGCCGCTTCATTGAATCTTTTGATCCATTCGGCTGCCACGGAGATGTCTCCCATTCCATCGAATGGTTTGCATCCCAACTCTCTCGCCTCTTTGAGGTATTTCGAGATTCTTATGATGGGAACCTCGGTACCTCTTCCTCCTCGGGACTCCTCATGTTCCCTAGAGCTAACACGGCTCCCTCTTCTCGGAGCCCCTCCCGAGGCACGCCTTGCCCGGCACCTTTGGCGATCTTGTTGGTATTGCCGAAGCAATTCCTCAATCCTCTCGAGAGCGTCATTATCATCGCTCTCTTCGCTAACGTCATCGTCCCCCCCCATCATATGGGGTTTCAACCGGCTCAGTTCCCGGCCGGTAAGTTGAATCCTCCTCGGATTCATAATGCTCGTCAATCGTCTCAACATGGCCGTCACTCACGGTCAGCGAGTGGCCTGCACGACCTTGTCCCCCGGACATCCTCGATGCTCCCCGACTGCCACGTTGGGACCTTCCCGGTGCCTGGCCAGTCGGGTTCCGTCGAGTAACTTTCCCGGTACGTTCCATTTCTGAAAGAAATTGAGAATGAGCCATTAGACTCGTATCAATGTCAAGTGACGGATAGGCACTTAAAGACATCCTTTGGCTCAAATCACCGTCATACCAATTGTTAAGGGTACCATCTTAACAATTAGAGACTCTGCAACTCAAGTACCAAAAGTTCTATAAGTGCAAAACTTTTATGCTCATGGTTTTCAAAATCATTTTCAAAAGGGATTTTGAAGCTTCATTATGAAGTTTACGGACTAAGGCTCTGATACCAATTAAATTGTCACGCCCCGGACCTAACCGGACACGTCAACAACCCGCCGTACAGTACGAATAGTCAACCGCAGTCCAACACATCCATACTATACAAGGCGTCTGGAATATCGTTCACACATAGTACATCCATAAACAAACATAATGTAAAATATTCATTTAAAGCAGCGGAAACATTCAATACAAGTGTTCATGCCACACCTTGGCAAACATGGGCATACAAGCCCCCAAATAAATATTTAAAAAAAATAATATCCATGAGCATTATTTAAAATGTTTTCAAAACAGGAACGGAAGAAGCACGAACCACGTCTCCCTCCTTTGATCTTCCCGAAGCAACGGGCAGTGGTAGCAACCTTCAAGTTCTACCTGAAACTGTGAGGTGGCCTCCCCCGTGAAGGGGAGGTCAGTACTTGGAAGCATTTGACAAGTACAATGACAACTATACTAAGTATAATCAAAGTTTCAATTTCCAAGACCCTCAATCTAGGATGTTATTACATTATAGGTCATAACCCGTGGTTACCCTCTTTGAAAGTATACTTACTTTATATATAAAGTCAAGTAGTCGCCCGAAGGCCCATGTTTACTTTGAAAACACTAACCCTTTCCCCGTGACTTCAAGCCACACCCATCTATATTAGTTTACCATGCTAGAGGCTTCCTCTAGTCATGTTTTGTCGTGCTAGAGGCTGACTCTAGTCACTCCACTTGGTGTTAGAGGCTTCCTCTAATCACCTTACATACGTTGTGCTGGAGGCTTCCTCCAGTCACATTACGTTACGCTAGAGGCTTCCTCTAGTCGTCCTACACGAATGCTGGAGGCTTCCTCCAGTCATTCTTCATCGTGCTAGAGGCTTCCTCTAGTCACATTACGTTACGCTAGAGGCTTCCTCTAGTCGTCCTACACGAATGCTGGAGGCTTCCTCCAGTCATTCTTCATCGTGCTAGAGGCTTCCTCTAGTCACATTACGTTACGCTAGAGGCTTCCTCTAGTCGTCCTACACGAATGCTGGAGGCTTCCTCCAGTCATTCTTCATCGTGCTAGAGGCTTCCTCTAGTCACGATACTAGTTCACTAAGCAAGTTCTATGCCTAGAGTTCCTCTATTATGAGTAGCCTTTGAGGCCTACTCCTACGGTAACTTAGCGTTTACCCATTTCTACCTTAAGACATCTCATAAGACTACTTAAGGTGTACCCCTCTCACAATTCAAGCCCTTAGGATTTGTTCTATCACCTTTCACACTAACATTTCCGACTAGTAAAATCGATACTAATCCATTTGTCTTTAAGCCACCAAGCTCTTTAATTCATAGTTATAGGGCTCATTCCCATGAATTTCCAAATCCATATATGATTTAATCTCAATATCAAAATATCACTTTTATCCATTCATGATTTCTATACATGAAGTAAAAGTATATTTCATCACAAAAATTCATGATTTATACATTCATCATATCATCATTCTTACAATGCATAACTATACACCATTTACTCATAAAATTGTATATTATGCATCTTCTATTAATAAACAACAATATTTTCATTAGGCATTATTAATCATTAATAATCCATGAAAATCACATTTAATTATCTTAGGTAATCTTATGAAATTAACCCAAGGATTATAAGCAATATAGTCGGTCATCCTCACCTCAATTGAGCTTTAAACTATCCCTTCTTGGTCCAATGGTCAAGACTTTGGTCAAGGTGGATTTGGAACTGATTCCTTGCTCAAATATGGGTGTTAAACAGCCTCTTCAAAGCGCTAGCTCAACCCCTAAACGTTGGTACGAAAACAGCCCCTAGAATGGGTGTTTTCCTGTGAACACGTTTCCTAGTTTTCCAAGATTTACTCTAGGTTAGTATCTAACCTTTACATCAATAAAATAACTTTACAAGGACATATTATACACTTGTATTAGTGTACAATAGTTCCACCAATCGTTCATATCATTTGGAAAATGAAAGGAAAGGTTTTGGGGTTAACAACTCACTTTAGAAGAGTAGATCCGTTTCTGCGAGGTTGTGTTTTGCTCGGACGATTTGGAAGCCTTCCACTACTCCGATTGATGCAAACCAGACCTTCACGGATTCCTCGTCTTGAGATCTTTCTTTTGGTATCTCACACGCCTTAATTGGATTGGTATAACTCGAGATATCCACCAAACAGCTTCAGCACTCTCAGAGCTCGAGTTTACAGACCACTGCTCGCTCCAGATCGATTTCCGGATTATTACTCTCTCCTCTCGAACAGAGACCACTCAATTATGAAAATAGACTTCAAAGGCTATCCAAGGACACCTTATACACGTTGTTTGGTCGAGTATAACTCCCATAATGAGTGGAGACAAACAGCACACCATTTTGTGCGAAAAATGGAGATGGTGGCCCAACATTTGATTCCTATCAAGTCTTGTACAGCTCCTCTCCATGGTGGTCGGCCAAGGTAAGTCTTCTCACCCATTTTGATTTGTCTTGCAGTTACTAATATCATGTGGAGTGGTTCCCCATTGATCCCAATTATTTTGGGGTCCAAAATATCTATCAATACTTCCAAAAATGGGAAGATGGGTTCTATTGTTTTATCTTTTGTCAAAGATGTCTTTTTGTACTCATCCTAATTTATTTAGAACAAGTCAACTTCCTACATCACATTATTGATCTCCAATATGTGTAGGCTCATCTCAATAATTTACTTGATGGACATTATAGAAGGAAAATCCTACTCCCATTATTTAGCTCAATAATGTCAAAGATGGGATCATAGGCATTTGTATTCATCTCAAATCATCCTATCACTTATTTTGACATTTGTCATTCATATTATTGGGCTACAAGCCGTGTGGGTCGCCCCCGAGTGGGCCTACGACGCCATTCTCGAATACTTGCTATTTTAGCGGGTTGAGCCCAAAATAATATCTGGGCCGCCCGCCCTTCCTCAACTTGTCTTGAAACGTTATGTATCACTATTTAGATAATTTTAGGCTCTTTTATTTATTAATCAGGCCCGATACTTATATACGAGTTCGAACAGTACAATAATCGACCATTAATTACGTAAAACATTAATCGTTTTACAATCGTTTGGGAATCAGAAATCCAATACATAAACTTTGAATTTTAAAATCAAATTTTCAAGGACGTTCGGGTGCGGTGTCACATGTAGGGTTTGGGAGAAAGTAAAGGAATGGTTGGATATGACACGATAGATGACCACGCTACTTAGCTCGGTCAAATGGATCTTAACAGACCACAAAGGATCAAAAATCAAGGGGAAAGCGGTTCGGATAGCCTTTTGTGCCACGGTATACTACCTATGGCACGCTAGGAATTCAAATCGGTTTGATGAGTCAGACATAAGGGAAGAAGAGGTCGTCGCAAAAATTAAGCATGTGGTGTATAAAATACTTTTCAATTTATGCCCGCATGACTTGATTACATTTTGAGTAGAAGGCCGAGACATAGATATTATGGATGCCGAGGTTTGGATAGACTGCTACATGATTATTTTGATTAGCCGAGGCATGGATTCGTTGGATGCCGCGAGGACCCGAGACACCGTGGTATGGACATTTTGGATGCCGCGACATGGAGCATTGTCGTTGAATTTAGGGTGTGTGCACTTTGCAACACCTTTTGTACTTTGTTTTGATTTTTAGCCTCTGATCTGTGTGCGAGCAGGTGCTGCACCGATGTATTTTTTGAAACTTCTTGATGTGCCAAGTCTTATACCGGGGTTTTGGCATAGAATAGATCGAATAAAAACTTCCTTTCACCCCCACATTATGTGAGGATCGGGGAGGTTTTAGGAGATCTAGGACATGTGATGTATAGTTTTTCTGGGTGTTAATATATACTTACATTTCATCCAAAAAAAACAATGAGTGGCAATTTGGTGGCAAACTAGTTAGTCATATCCATTTGAATAATTACATTTTTCTCAAAACGTCAACTTACTTGACTACCAATAACAAAATGTCAATTGTGTAATCCAGAAGTAATCTACATGGTACCTTTTTCATGAGTAAACGAAGAGATCGAAATTGAGAAAGTGTATCTTTTTTTCTTACAAAACTTCGATCTTGCATATACCCTTTATCAAAATTATGTTTGTAATTATGGAATATCTTTTGAACACTTTCTTCTCATTTCGTGCAGCTAGACTCGATAAATAAATAAATTCATGCAATCCAACATGTTTAACTAAATGTCAAACAAATACCATAAGTGTAACGAATATCATAAGTATCCCATTACCAAATAGTATTTTCTTACGGCTGAATTGAAATGGATATTTGTGAATAAGACAAAAAGTGATATCATTCATTGAAAATGTAGTTCAAAATTAACTTTAATTAAATCGACAACTAGTACGTCCAATTAAGATGGTCTATTTTGCACATAAGATAAATAGTTTCTTAACCACTTAATATAGATAGCTAAAGAGGTTTTTCCTAATATATTGTTGAAATCCAACTTATAGACAAAAAATGTGATCAAATTTACTATGTACAAGTGTAACATCATTGTCACTCTAATGTAAAATTGAACATAGTCAATAGCAACTAAAAGTTGCTAATATAATCGCTACATATAAAATTTCATATTTTTGTCCATCTAACTGAACATAATATAAGTAGAAATAATTAAATAAATATGTTGAAAATAAAGATGATTTACAAAAATATGACTATTAGTTACTAAAGTAGTAATGAAATCATACTAATTCATGTCCAAGTTTTGAATTTAAATTATCACAACACAACGTTGTAATAATATTTATGTAAATAAGTTTTATTTTAGTAATATTCTTGTAAAAAATCATATATATATGTGTGTGTGCGCGCGCCATCATGTGTTAATTCACTCCAATGGAATTAATTTAAAAATTAAACAACACCTAAATGAATGCACCTTTTATGAGTCATTCTTAATTTCATAGATTCAATGTACCATGTCATCCATTGGGAAAACGCAAGGACAATAAATGACCCATGAAGTAGAGCCTTAGAGGATTAAATGTTTAATAAGTCATGCCACAATAAACAATATATATAAAACAAGAAAAAAAATAGGCTTACTCCCACTCTCATATCCAGCCTCTCTATTGAACTTAAATATAGTCTATATTTAATTCAAAAACTTGCCAACGTCCCACAAGTTTCTCCCATGGACTTTCAAAACATCTAATACGGAGTAATAAATACTCGCAATAATTTTTACAAAGTACTGCCCTTTCAATGAGAAGTCAGGAACCCTTCTGAAAGCGATCCTAAGAAGTTTTTAGGTTTTAGTTATATATTGGACTTTATAAATAATACCTTAGAAAATTAAGACTTGAGCACTTTATTAGAATAAAATAGGAAATTATTAGTACTACTATTACAATTATTATTACTACTATTACTATTACTATGAGAATTCAACACCGAGTTACATATGTCAACCATATGCAGGGGTGGAGACAGGGGGTGGCTGGCGGGGGCCATGGCCCCTGCAAGAAAAAAATTGTGATGTATATATATATGTATAATATTTATAAGTAGTAAAAATATAGTGAAAATTTAGGTTTTGGCCCCTGTTATATAAATTCTTTAAGCCCCGGCCCCTGTAACATGTAAATCCTGGCTCCGCCACTGACCATATGTATGCAATTAACTCAATATGTTACCTAAACATAAAACACACATGCTAATAATTTAGTTGGATTTTTTCTTGATTATAGCTAGAAGTTACAGAAAATGGACCTAAATAAAAACTGGAAGCTAGCTACATTTTTAATGGCATTGAAAAGGACACAAGAGAACTTATATCTTTTGATGCAGAAGGTGCAACGAAGTAGTAACATGGGGAAATTTGTGTGACTGTTTTTGTGGTCCTTCAGACAATGGTTTATAGTGTTTTTATAGTATGTTATTATAACTGGTTGGTCTATACTCTAGAGCCACCCAACTCTATGACTGGATATATAGTAAATAGAAATATACAACAACAAAAAAAATACACATGAAATTAAGATTTTGGGAGTACATATTAATTTCTCTCCATTCCCCCATAAATTTTGATTCTCTCCAAATTTGGGGAAAAAACAACCAAAGTTTAAAACAAGCATCTTACTGAAAAACCAGTCATTTTTGTGTCTTTAATGCTTTTGGCTTCTTATATGTGCGGCAAAACAAATTGGACTCTTTTTTGGATAACCTGCACCGACTATATGCAAAGTGCAAGCATTTTTAGCATTTTAAATAAATAAAACGTTAGTTTGACCCAAAACCTTACCCTAGCTTCAACCTAATAACCTCAAATTGTGCACATAAATCTGGACCAAATAACATACTACTCCGTACTAGATACTAAAAGATCATCCTCAATCGATACATCTTTTAGGATGTTTTCATTTGAATTTAATTTTTTTTGATATAGTGTGATTTGGTGTGATCTGCTAAAGTCTTATCTGGTCTGATTCGAATTGGATTGTACTAGTATGGTAGATGTCCAGTCCTAATGTATTATACAACTGTCGAATTTCGGTGTGGTCTGACATGTTTAAGTTTGATCTATTCTGATTTGTTCTACAACCGAAAACCGTCCAAATAAAAAATTAGACTCCTATTCATATTTCTAAGTTGCCAATATGAAAGTTTAAAGTCTCAATGACTCAGATTGATAGGTCATATAACTCATATGCCCATCAAGATTCAGAATTAGCATGTAAAAATAAACCCTTATAAAATGGGAGTCTTGAATATGCATTGGTCATACTTTCCTTACACAACTTATTTGTTTTCCTAGTGACCGGTCTAGTTCACGAGAAGAAATAGTACTCCCTCCGGTCCTTATTAAAGTTCTCACTTTCCTTTTCGGGATGTCCCTTATTTAAGTTCACACTTCTATTTTAGGAAACAAAACAGTGCAAAACAGTGTCAAACAGTGCCAAACAGTGCCAAACAGTGCACTCCACAGTAAAGTCAAATTTATTTTCTTAATCTGTGTGAAGTCAAACCGAGAACTTTAATAAGGACCGGAGGGAGTATTTGATAAGACATGCAAGAAAGAAGAAATAGATCATATTATCCAAATATGCATTGGTCATACTTTCCTTACACACCTTATTTATTTTCCTAGTGACCGGTCTAGTTCACGAGACATATGTAACACGTATAAATGTCACTAGTTTCATATCGTTTTTGTTCTTAACTTCTACTTTCAGTCAAGCAATTTTAATTTGTTTGAAATTGTTTTAAAGGGTAAAATGACCCAATAATCTAATA